GAAAAAATATACAATTATATACATTTGCAACATACGCAATTATGTTTTGTATTATGTTGGACAGTTTATAATTGAAGTGTATTTCAAAGAATTAAAAGAGTGTAAAATATTAGACAATCTTAAGCAAATATTTCATTTAAATTTCAAATAGTGGCCAGTTTTTTTTTAAATTTACAAAGTACGTACGATGACGTCATTATCATATTTTATCAAAACAATTATAGCAAATTTGAGTTTTTAACCTTCAAGACATGCGCACGCTTTTATCTGTAATAAAATTGCCTCTAAAAATACTTTAAATAGTAGAATTTTTTAAGGAATGATAAAATATCAGTTTCGTATTTTTTCTTATAAATTCTTGACAAAAAAGTAAAAAGAGAATTTAAAGAACTACAGTCTTAAAAAATATTTTATTTAACTAAACGTTTGTCTGTAAACTTTATATATTTTAAAAAAATTTATTAAATCATATAACAAATCAAATAATAAATGCATTTTAGGATTAATAGATAAATAGGAAAGCAAGCTATTAATCCTAAAATGCATTTATTATTTGATTTGTTGTATAACCATAAAGCAACGTATATTCAAATTTTAATTAATAAGACGATATTGATTTGACATTATTGTACAATATTTTATGTAAACAACAGTATATTTTGAGAAATTTTTAAATATTACACAATATTAATATTACAATTAAAAAATTTACAATGTACAGATATGTTTTAAATTTGGTTTTTTCGGAATAAATAGCAATAGAATATATATTAAAGAAGAAAACAAATATTTTTAAGAAACGTTTTATTGAAATGTCTTAATAAACATATATACGTAACAATAGAATGCTATACCTATCTGCAAACATCTTTATGTGCACAACTGTGCACAAGCCACATTTGATATTCAATTTTATAATTGAAATTATGTAACTCGCGGAAAAGAGCGTATTGATAGAAGTCATGTTGACGTGCAATACACATGTACAATTGTCACATTGATATGTTAATATAAACGATTCAAGAACAGATGAAGAAAAATTCCATTGTAAAATTTTGAAACAATGAACGATGCAGAAGAAACTTTTGGATTGCTTGCGTAGTTTAACAAAAATAATTATAAAAAGCTAATTATTTTAAGAAAATTTTATAAATGATACAGTATCTGAGATGTGAGTTTTCGTGCTTGCATGTGTGAATATATTAATTAATAATAATCATATATATTGTTGCGCCCGTGCTTCGAGCGTCGAAGATTTTAAACCGCCGTCCGCTGACGTTGGTTACGAGAGAGAGTAATGAGAATATTCCCGTCTATGATCGTTGCTACGAGAATCAACAGCGGAGAGATTGAAGTTATCGCGGGGTTGTCAAACCGTTTGGACGTGCTCCCGGTGCATTTTACAATATTTAATCTGTTTTTCTTGTAGAGCTGTGTTTACATTAAACGAGTCTTCCTTATTTAAACGAGCGCGTGTTGTGTTTCCTTACGGGTGCGTGTCTCGTCAAGTCGGAGTGCGCGTACTAACGTCTGCGAGCGCAACAATATAATATTTCATATATATATATATATATATAT